GAACTAATATTTTCTAAATGACCAATGTGGAATCACACATGGATAAAAAATTATTCAAAGTGCAAGACAGGCATGAGGCTTAATGTAACAGTGTAGAAAAAAGTTCATTGATGTGGTTTCAGACTCCAAATTGCAATTAATCTTCAAGGAGTTATCACTTGAGAAGTTTCAGTGTAACATCAAAGAATATCCATGATTGTTTCAAAATGCTATTAAAATAGCCCTCCCTTTCCAACTACTTATCTGTGTGAGGCTGGATGTTCTTCCTATACTTCAAACCAACATAGCACCACAGATGGAATGCAGAAGTAGATACGAGAATTCAGCTGTCTTCTATTAAGGTGGGCACCAAAGACATGTCAGAAGTATAACACAGTGTCAGCCATTTTATTCATTAACTTTGTTTTGGAAAACAGAGTTACTTTTTATAAAAATATTTATGTTAACCTGTAATGGGTTTACTATTGTTATTTTTAAATGAATTGATAAATAATTATTTCTAAAATTTCTGTCTTAATTTCTACTGTGTATATGAGTACATATATCCCACATAAACAAAAGCTCTTTGAGATCTTTGTAATTTATGAGAGTGTAAAGAGGTCCTAGACCAAAATGTTCAAGAACTACTGCCTTAACAGTTTTAAAACTTCTTTCTTTGAGGAGTTCTAGCCTCAGAGATAGATAAATCCTGATGAGTTCTTTCTAATCCCTTTCTCCTTTTATCAGCTAGACCCCAAGTCCAACAATTGCCAAATGTCTCTAGTTTAGTTCACATAAATGTACATTCCCATCATGTTTTCCTAAGCAAAGAGTTTAGTCACTTTGGTTAGATTTTTGAACTTCTTGGCGTCAATGATTTGACTTGGCAAAGAGCCAGGTCGCTCACCTGGGTAACATATTCACAAACCAGTTCCTAGAGACATAGCTCAACTGAAGCCTCATCTGGGTTCTGCCAACTTAAGAAGGCAAGCTCATTCCTTGCATTTTTTCTTTTTGGACACCAACTATTCTACTCAATATATTTCTGATGGAATATAATTTTGTTATGAAGGGCCAAAGAAAAAAATAAAGTACTAGAAATAATAGATCAAATAAAAAGAGGCTAGTATTTATTTAGTACTTGCTCTAAGCCAAATACTCTTATATATGTTACTTCATTTAATCCTCCCAACATACTATGAGGTGGGCATTGTTATTCCCATTTTACAGATAAGGAGAGCAGGGAGATAGCTGTTATATAGCAGAGGAGATATGAAATCAAGGCCTCAGTAGCTCCAAAGACAGATTAATAGAGGATCTGGGTTGTGTCAAATGCTTTATGGATGTGGGGATAAAAATATTTCAACTAAGTCTTTAGAATTGCCTCAGACCAATGATTCTCAAAGTGTGGTCCCTGGACCAGCAGCATCAGCATTTCTGGGAACTTGTTAAAAACACAGATTCTCAGGCCACAATCCAGACCTGCTGAATAAGAAGCTTTGGGGGAAGTCAAGAAACAAACACAAAGGGCAGGCCAACTAAACTAAGTCTATCAAGATACTAAAATATTACAGAAATAAACCAGAAATATTGGGTCAGTTAACTCAGCTCTACTCTTCTGTGGGGAAAACGAATTGGTCTCCTATTCCATACAGCTAATAAATTCCTTATTAGGAATTTGTACATGTGGCAGGAAAATAATATTTGCCATGTATAATGTTCTGCTTCCTTCTAAGAAAGGCTGATCCTGGTAACCAGAGAAGTTTTTGCTTGCTAAGCAAAGCTCTGAACCATTTTCTAATGGCTTCTTAACTCCCTACTCCTCCCTTGATGCCCTGAAGGATGAGCAGTACAGTACAGACCTCTAAAAACTCTTATTTGGGATGGGCGCCTGGGTGGCTCAGTTGATTAAGCCACTGCCTTCGGCTCAGGTCATGATCCTGGAGTCCCGGGATCGAGTCCCGCATCGGACTCCCTGCTCGGCGGGGAGTCTGCTTCTCTCTCTGACCCTCCCCCCTCTCATGTGCTTTCTCTCTCTCATTCTCTCTCTTTCAAATAAATAAATAAAATATTTAAAAAAAAAAACCTCTTATTTGGGGATTGTCTTAGATCAGATTCCCTACAAGCAGAGCCTGGGATGGGGATTCTTGTGCAAGTAACCTATTGAGAAAGCATTCTCAGGAGAAGGGGCACAGGTTAAGCAGCAGGAGAAGCTAATCAAAGATGTGTTCTTAAACAGATACTCGCTTCAGCCTGATCCCGTGGGGAGCTCTGGAGCATGAATTTTACCACAGTTGGTCCTATCTGGAGGGAAGGGAGCCAAGTCTTTGTACACCCCTCTCTCAGTCACTCACTGACTGTGCGCTGCTGGTGGTGGGATGACGGTGAGTCTAATCTCCTGGGCTAAGTGCTTCCTGGTAGCTGAGGGTAGCACTTCAGGGCAGCTGTGAGCTATTAGCAGACAACCCTGATGGCAGTTGGGGGATGGGCAAACCTAGATAAAAGGGATCTGGATGGGGCACCAACAGTATCTACTACATCAATATCTTTTGGATCTCCGCTCATATCCCTGGGTATCTATATCCATGCCTGCCTCGGGTATGAACTCTCCTCTCTATCCCTTGGCCTCACAGAACCATAGTCTTGGACCAGCCAGCTTTCTGTTCTCCACTCAGCCTATAAGGTAAATCAGGTCAAGTGGCTACATTTGTAGGATCCCAGATAGTTTGCAGAGGGTGTTGAATATATGCATTATCCCTTATTTTCTGCATCCTTTCACAACTTTCATATCAGTATATGGGGTTCCCAGTTGTAGGAGTCTGATCATTGTGACTGAACTGGTTTTCCATTCTTTGATATAACCCTTTATATTTATCAAAAGACATCAATCCTACAAAATTGCTGAGTGGTGCCATGTCTCAAAATGTGCCTCAACCACCTCCATAATCTAGATGTTGAGAGATTCCAAAACAGAAAGGTGCCCCCCCAAAATATATTCTGGATATACCTTCTCTGTATGTATTCTTTGTTCATTTTTATCACATGAGGAGACTTGCCTTGAAACTTTGGCATTGGACCAAGGGGCCCCTGCCATTTTAACTGAGGTTCTAGGGTCACTTGCTTGTGTAGGAGGTCTAACGTGGCATTGCCATGCTAAACTGTGCAGATATGCCTGGGGATTTTACTACAGTCAGATCATTAATGCAATATCCGTTAGAAATAGCTGACAATGAATAACTTTTCTAAAGTTCCTAGAAACTTATAATTGGGAAAAAAACTGTTAATTCTTCCCCAACACTGAAATCATTGCAGTGTAATTACTTGATGTTTTACTTCCAATATTGCAATGAAGAAAGCCTGGAAGAAAGGAACTCTTTGGCTAATTATATTAAGTGGGTAGGATCTATTATGTACACCAGAGACCCAAGGGTCATTGTTAGAGTTTTTGTTAATCTTTGTTGATGAAGTAGATACATAGGAAGGGTGATGAGGGAGGAAAGCATAAAAAGAAACAGGAGATTAAAAATAGCTTTGGAAAAATTAAGGCTAAATCTTCCTTCCCTGTTTTCTTTATTCCTAATATTATAAATAATGTCTTCTTAAGATGGAAAGTTAAGAAAGCAAATAAATTCCTAGGGTTTTGGGTTGAGAAAGATATTAAATTGTGTGTATATAAAAAAGAAAACTTTGAGGATTTTTGAGGTAAAGTGACTACATTATGACAAGAAAATGACTAGAAGTTCTTTCTGATTGAGTGAAGAAAAGTATACCTTCCATTCGGTTCAGAGAGTAAGCAGTAAAGAGATATGTTTTTAATTGCATTCTGGTTTTGGTAGTTTTAAGTGCCATGCCATGGACAACCATTTAGAAAGTGGAAGGATATTCAGGATTATGTCCTTTGTATGTAGGTAATTTGAGGGAGAGCCTCCACAGTCTACATGGCACCTTCTGGTTCAATCATTCTATAGTCTCTACTGAAAGAAGATAGTCTTTTAAACTGCATTATTTCTTTCTTAAGTGGTCCCAAGAAATTATCATAGACAAGAAAGTCAACTTTGATATTTACTAGAAAAACTGATTTTTCTCTTGTAACATTATCAGCCTTTTCCCCCCCTAAAAATATGTTTTATTGCATGTTCATTGCAAATCTATTTTGTAATTCATCTCTTACTCATTTAAGTCATAGGTATCTGCTAAAGAATATCTGTCAACCAGCCTGGAAACATTCTTCTAATAGTAGAGGTGAAACGTAAAGATGGTTACTTTTTTTGTCTTCTGCAAAATACATTATTTTCTTAAAGTTCCACTTATGTTATTTAATATTTTAACTAAAAATGTTTAATTTGTATCATAATAATTCAACAATACAAATTTTGGTCACCCACAAAAGCATGTAGCTTTAATTACATTATAATAATCCAGTGATGCAAATTTTTATTATCCTGAACAAAAATTGTAGAGAAAGAATGGACTAAAATATGGCAAGCAGTAGATTTATAGACACGTTCAGCGTGTGGTGTGAGTAGATGCACAATAAGCACAAACATGAAAAAATTAAATCGCTCCTGCTGGAGAATTTGAACCTATGAAAATGCCACTCTGTAATGTATCTTATGTTCCCAGCTAGGTTTCCATGGTTTTGCCACTTGTTCACAAAGCCTTCTTTAGGCTTTTGACATTAAGTGTTCATTACGGAGAAGAGATGTGTGCTCTTGAAAAATCCTCCTTCCCACGTATGACTGGAAAAAAAACTTGAGTTTGGGCACAGTTATAGCTGTTTTCTGAGAATTTCATCATTTGCCTCCATAAGTGAATAGTCTGTGCACCTCATTTGCCTGAAAACTGTACTACATCAGCAAGATGGATCATTTGGCTTCCTTGTTGGTCCTGGGGGATATGAACACAGCCCACAGATCTACCAGCAGCCGACTGCTGGTAAATGTTTACTTATAAATTAGCACGGGTGATAATTTATTAAGGTAATAAGCATAGATTACATTTAATGGCTTAGACATTATGCATTATGAACACAGTATTTTATGTTTAGTTGCAACAAATGTATATGATGATTAATATGATACCCAAATGTAACTCAGAAATTGTGCATTAGAGAGCTTAAACCAAGTCAAGCCATGTATCGTAGTACATCTGCACTTCAATTAAGGCCTTCAGGAAGGTTCCACAATGGCAAAGCAATATCATTTCATTCACCTATACTGTGTATCAGGATTTGTTTCTTAGATTCTCTTCTTCCTCCATAAATTGACTCATTCAGTTACTGAAGAACATTGTTTCTCTCTTGACAAACATCACTGCATCAAAACTTTGGTTTCTGAAGCTGAGGTGAATAATCTGTCAGCAGGGACACCATGACAGCCTGGGATGACACAACAAAGAAAGAGAAAGAGAGAAAGAGAGAGAAAGAGAAAGAAAGAAAAAGGAAGGAAGGAAGGAAGAAAGAAAGAAAGGAAAGAGAGAGAGAGAGAAAGAAAGAAAGAAAGAGAGAGAGAGAGAAAGAAAGAAAGAAAGAAAGAAAGAAAGAAAGAAAGAAAGAAAGAAAGAAAGAAAGAAAGAAAGAAATGGGTAAACATTAGCAAGAGTCTGCTTAGGGACTTAAGGAAGAGGAACTGGATTGCCACTTTGAAGGCCTGTCATTAAAGTGTGTTTTCCCAAGGAAATGACAAGGGGACAGTTCTGAATTAATATTTATTTTTATTTGGATAGAGGAAGGTCAGGAGGGATCAGGCTGACCCGAATAAATGCAGAAACCCCATGTTTACTTAGGCCTCATTCCAGGACTAGCGGGTGAGAGAGGTGAAATGAGATACCATGGTGGTAGCCATGACTGGATTTTCCAGTCATAAGTGAAACCTAGGTATTGGCTGGTTTTGGAGAAATATAATCCCTCTCATCCTGATGTTATGCTGTGGTTTGGTCACTTGTAACCTAGAGAAGTTTAGAATCAATCAGATGTAGAGTAAGAAAAGGAAATCGTTTGGGCTAGTGAACAATGTCTATCTGAATGTGGGTCCTCATGAAGGAATATTTATAACCAAGAATATAGCTTCCCATTAGGCTGTCACCCACAAATGGTAATTTGCACTGTTACTCTTCCCAACTTCCACAATAATGACAATAGTAATAATATCAGAAACCACCACAACAAATGCTTACTGAATGCTTAACTATGTACCAGACTAAGTGCCTTATCATGTGTTGGTCCCTTAAGAAATATTTGCCAGGCACTGTGCTAGGTGCTGCTAGGTAAGTTAGAGAGAAATGTCTATACATTATCTCATTTAATGCAATAAGCTTCTAAGGTAACTTCTGTTATTATCATTTATAGATGGGAAAATCCTGGAAACAACAGATAGTGCACAACCGGGTTTGGACTCAGGTTTCTCTGACTTCACCCTTAGGAGGTGGTTTTACTGCCTTACAGGTACTTACTGTCTCCTTTTGACCATATTGTATATGTGTCCCTAGCCTATATCAGAAATGCAGGTCTTATATTTCATAGGTATTCATTGAATGTATTTATTGAACAGTTACCATGTGTTGGGCCCTGTACTGAGTGCTTTATGTGCATCATACCACTTAATATCCTTCCCTACTTGTATGAATTGTTAAGAGAGAGAAAATCCAGAGGAAGGTGTAGGTATTTTCCTGAGTGGTGATAGTAGGGGATAGATCTGCATCTGCCTGTACGTAAGACCTGAACCACTATGCTCAGATGACTCTTACTTCATTTAATCCTCATAAACTTACGAAGTTGTTCCTATTTTTATCTCCATTATCATATGAATAAACTGGACTTATACTTGCTCAAGATCACATAGAGAGCCAGATTTTAACTTGATTTCCAAAGTCTGTGTTCTACAACCAATATCCTATATCGCCATTGGGCTACAAAAATGTTTTGAGCACATATTTAGGGTGTCATGCACCATCCCGGGTATAACGAAGAACAATATAGACAAGATCGATGCTCTTATGAAGGAGTTTTCATTATAGTAGGGGGACAGGAAACAAGAAAATATCAAGTAGTGATAAGTGTCATTAGAAAATAAAATAAAAAATGGAGGGGCACCTGGGTGCCTAAGTCGATTGGGCATCTGCTTTTGGCTCAGGTCATGATCCTGGGGTCCTGGGATTGAGCCCTACGTCAGGCACCCTGCTCAGCAGGGAGTCTGCTTCTCCTTCTCTCTCTCACCTTCCCCCCCGCTCATGCTCTTGCTTGCTCACTCTCTCTCTCTCTGTCTCTCTCAAATGAATAAATAAAAAATCTTTAAATAAAATAAAATTAAAAATGGGATAAAGGAGGCTGGAGAACCTCTTAAGAGTGGGTGGCCAGGGAAGGCCTTGTTAAAGGAATGGCATTTGAAATCTGAATGACAAGAAGAAACTAGGAAGGCCAAACTCAGGGATAAGAACATCTCCCAGGTAAAATATTTTAGCTTCTTTATGGGTTTCTAGGATCACATCTCAGGTTTTGTTTTATTTTTAATGGTCATTGCATGTGTCAAATTTATTTTCAAATGTTAAATCTTAGAAAGTCAACTTGGAGTAGAGTTGCCAGACTTGGTTAAATCAATAAATACAGACAGTTAAATTGGCATTTCAGAAAGCAACATTTAAAAAAAAAAAACAAAACTATAAGTATGCTCCAAATATTGCATGGGACATACCTATACTAAAAAATTATTTGTTGTTTATCTAAAATTCCAGTTTAACTGGGTATCTTGTATTTGATCTGGCACCCCTAACTTGGAGAGAAATAAAGGACTCAAATACTGTGAATTAGATTTGCAGTGGTCTTGTATTATCTAAGGATCATCCTGATAGCAGTGCTTTGAAGTATCAGCTCTTTTGCAGGGTCCCTTTAGGTTACTTTAGGTTCACAGTAAAAATTGTAGGCAAAGGAAGAAAGGTACTTGACATTTTATGAGTCCTACAACCTTACTAATTATTGAAAAATGCAAAAGCAACCTCTGTGGGGAGGAGAGGGTATATTTAAAAAACAAAAAAAAAGGGATCCAAAAGCCTGTGCTCTATGGAGAGAATGATATGATTACTAGAGTGTTCTGACAAGCATAGCTAGAACTCACCCAACATGGAGGCCTTGAAAAGCTCCTCTAAGTACTGAAAGAGTATGCATTTGCTTTAAAAATGTTATATGCTTTTAGAACAAGCCCCACCCAATTTAGTTATATACTTGCCATCATTATCAGTCATTATGGATATGTTAGAACTTGAGGCTAGATTATATTTTTCCTTTCTTTTTCCATCTGATTTTAAATGAAATTGTGTGTGGAAATCATTCTCTAGACAGTAGTCCTGTCCAGTAGAACATTGTGCAATTATCAAAATGTTCTATGTCTCTGCTGTCAAATACAAATAATGTAGCCACCAGCCAAGTGTGGCTATTGAGCACTTAAAATGTGCTTAGCATGTCTGAGGAATTCACTCGTACATTGTATTATATTTTAATTAGTTTAAATTTAAATAGAAATAGCCACATGTGGCTAGTAGCTATTGCATTGGATAGGGAAGTTCTAGAGGAAAACAGATACTGTGACTTTAGAACATCCCAGATAAATCTATCTCAGTAGTGTTGAGCCTAAACGCCATTCTAAATAAGCTACGTAAGAATCATTTCTTTGCACGTGAAATAGGAATTTAGCCAATCTCTAGGGTCTCATCTCTCTTGAAAATGTCATATTCCTATGACTTGTACAGGCTGAGTGGGGACTGCATACTATTCGTTTTTTTTTTTTAAATCTCCAATGCCTGGCAGAGGGCCTGGCACCCAGTAGATGCATAGTGTATGATTGCCAACATGAACTTCACTCAGTGGGACCTCCAGTCGTCTAGCTCAGACACATGTGTGTCACCTCCTCTCTTCCAGAACATAGGACTTCAGTAGCCTGTTGGTGAGATTGAGGACCTATGAAAAAAATCATTTGCCATCGATATGGCTTGACCTGTTTATCTTATTTGTGAGGAAACCAGGACCAGAGAGGTAATACCTATCCAAGATGGCACAGCTGACTAGCATTAAACACTATATAAAGTATATAAAGTAAGCAGTATGTAAAGCATGCAGCTAGGGTACAGGTCTCCTCGCTCGCAGGCAAGTATTCTTTCTATTTTAGATGCTCTACCTTCACTTTAACATCGCTATGCCTCTTGTTTGCTTTAAAGTATATTTTCCCCTAATAATAGTGGGCACTTCAGGAAGGTGGGGTATGGAGAGATGGTGGTAGGGCTTAGACAGATGGAAAATAGGTGGGCATAAAATTTCACTTTGTGTATGTACGTGTGTATGTGTATCTATGTACATATATACATATACACACACATATATATATATATATATATATCCTTGTAAGCATATCAACAATGTGAATACATGATGTATTTAATTTTTTAAAGTAAACTCAAGGGACGCCTGGGTGGCTCAGTGGGTTAAGCCTCTGCCTTAGGCTCGGGTCATGATCCCTAAGCTCCTCCTTAGGGACTCCTCCTCCTGGGATCGAGTCCCACATCGGGTTCCTTGCTCAGCGGGGAGTCTGCTTCTCCCTCTGCCTGCCACTCCCCCTGCTTGTGCTCTCTCTCTGTCTCTCTCTCTGACAAGTAAATAAATAAAATCTTTAAAAAATAAAGTAAATTCAATTTAAAGATGTTGTTTAATAAGCTCTTCAAAAATTCGGAAGCGCAGAGCATCTCCATAAATGATATTTTGGCAACATTTCTTTTAATTTTTCCCCACTGGATTTCTACAAAGGTCATATTTTAACAGATTTAGGTTGATTCATCTTTGTAACTTCAATCGTTTTCTGAGAAAGAATAGAGCTTGAGGAAAATTTTTTGCCATGCCTCTTCCTGAGGTATATGGTTGGAGAGCTCACATTCTCTTTTTTGTCATCTAGATCTTTGCTATTCAAACTGTGGTCTGCAGGACAGCAGCATCTGCATTATCTAGGTGCTTGTTAGAAATGCTGGCTCAGGTGCCTGGGTGGCTCAGTTGGTTAAGCGACTGCCTTCGGCTCAGGTCATGATCCTGGAGTCCCAGGATCGAGTCCCGCATTAGGCTCCCTGCTTGGCAGGGAGTCTGCTTCTCCCTCTGACCCTCCTCCCTCTCATGCTCTCTGTCTCTCATTCTCTCTCTCTCAAATAAATAAAATAAAATCTTTAAAAAAAAAAAAGAAATGCTGGCTCTTGGGCCCCATCTCGGGCCTACTGGGTCTGCACTTTAACAAGATCCCTACGTGATTCAAATAGACATTTGAAGCTTTAGAAGCACTGGTCTAGGTAACGTGGCAGTTGCCATTTTGACCAAAGCTAGTGTCCTGAGGTGGCAAGCTGGAAAGCACAGTAAAAAAAAAAACCCATCCCTCTTATTAGATATGACAAATTTAGGCCTGACACATAACTTTCCTTTGAAAAGGGAATCATGATTGGCTTTTAAGCAGCCATAGTGGAGCTCAAACCCCTGCTGGTCACTGTATTAGGTCAACAATGAAGATGATGTCAGTGATAATAATTGTAATAATATTTACAGTATATTAGATACCATACTAAATGCTCTACATGTATTATTTTAATGCTCACAATAACCCTATCTATTCCCATTTAGATAAAATGTATTCCCATTAGATAAAAAAAAATTACCAGAGTCTTTTCCAGCTCGGTTTTCTGTACTCCAGAAGTTGCAAGCTATAAACTACATTTCCCAGAAGCTAAGGTGCAGACATGCCACTCAAATGTATCTACTCAAGTCTTAGAGCCATAAGTGAACAATGTGCAGTGGAAGCCATCCTCTGGGAGATTAGATCTTCTGGTCTATTTGCAGGTGGGGGTATCTGGTTTTGCTGGGGCAGCGATAATGGGGTATCTGGCATTTAGTTTCAAGGGTCTTAGGTACCAGGCTTTGGGTAGCTGTGTCAGTGGTGTTTGGCTATTAAAGAACCACAATGTTGTTGGGCGATTGTCCTGCCTGTATTTCTGAATATGTGGTATCCAAGAATGATTTGCTGCACCTTCTTTCCCCAGAGATTCTGGGCACTGCTAAATGTCTTTTAATAAATTCCTATATTATCTTTTTATCTTTCCTAGAGTGGACTCTGTTTTCCAGTAAGACTCCAGCTGGTACAAAAATTGAGATCAGTTAAATCAACTAAAAATGAAAAAACAGTGGTACTAAATTATGGCACTTGAATATCAGTTTTCTAGAGAAGAAGGTGATGTTTGGAATATTGTAACACACAGATGTGAGGTTAGTATTTCCTAGAATAGCAGTGATGAAGGTGAAACTTATGTTAAGGGGACCAGTATTTTTTAAGATTTGTTGCAGTTCTCAAAATGTTCAATACCTAAAACAGATATATCTATAAGCCAAAGTCAAGTAGAGAACCAAAACAATGAGCTAGGTAAGTCATGAAAGGAAGAGAAGAGAAAGGAAATACAATTTCTTTGAACACTCATTTTGTGCCAGGCACTGAATTAGGGACCTCTATAAACATTAACAAGGGGATTGTAAAATAAGAATTATACAGTATAATGGTTGGCAGGCAATGGTGGCTGGCGTTCAGGCTGATCAAGAGCAGTCAGAATTTTTATTAAAATAGATATATTTGGAGGCATCTGGGTGGCTCATTTGGTTGAGTACCCGACTCTTGATTTCAGCTCAGGTCATGATCTCAGGGTCATGAGATTGAGCCCAGTGTGAAGCCTGCTTGGGATTCTCTCTCTCCCTCCCTCTCCCTCTGCCCCTCCCCCCTGCTCTCTCTCTCTCTAAAAAATAATAATAGAATAGATATATTTGGAAGGAGATCAATTTTACACCATTAAAAACATAATATAAATACTAATAAGCAGTAATAATCTATTATGAACTTTCTGGGAAAATAATAGATGCCATATGAGCAAGTCATGTAGGTGGATAATCTCAGTTGCTTATTATTTACCAAAAGGTATGAATGACTAAGTTAGGGTCACACAGAGAACCCCTTCTTAGTCTCCATTCCCCATTTCTTGCTTACCATGATTGTCCACTTCCTGTTTTCAGCCTCTGGGAATACTAGTGATCGTGGAGAATAAAACACTTCATCATCCACTTCTTCTGGCTTTCTGGGCAAGCAGTGTAAAAATGTCCAGTCAGAGGCAGCAACTTTAGCAGTCTAAAGAAGAGATGGGATGAGACTGTTTTGACTAGCATATGCGGCTATCACATTTGTCTTCTTCAATATTTAAACACACATATGGTGTGGAGTCAGAGACCAAATGCAAAGGGAGAGATGAGGCAGAGTGGTGGTTTAAATTCAAGGCACCGGGGCGCCTGGGTGGCTCAGTTGGTTGGGTGACTGCCTTCGGCTCAGGTCATGATCCTGGAGTCCCGGGATCGAGTCCCGCATCGGGCTCCCTGCTCGGCGGGGAGTCTGCTTCTCCCTCTGACCCTCCCCCCTCTCATGTGCTTGCTCTCTCTCATTCTCTCTCTCTCAAATAAATAAATAAAATCTTTAAAAAAAATAAAATAAAAAAAAATAAATTCAAGGCACCAAAGGGAAACGTAAATGGTACTTTCAACTTATGGAATTTTATAGCATTTTTTTGATTTGGGAGATCATTACTCCAAATTAAACCACTAACTCAGTTTTCTGGTTCTCTGTCTAGAGGGATTGTGGACATTTCAGTAAAGAGTTCTATCGGTACAATTTGTGGCTGATAGCAAAAGTCACCCATTATGCCCCAATATATTTTAAAAGTCACTTTTATGGGATTATGTTATATTTTGAGCTTATCTCCAAGTTACGGTTTTTAGTGGTTGAAGCACACTTCATCACTAATTAAAACACTTTTGAAAGAGAGCGTGCTGAGATAGGAGTGCACTAAACAGGATTATGGGCACTATGCACCAGAGGTTTCCTTCTTAATGCAAAAGTCCTAACAGTTTCAATTTTCTCCAGCCATTAGTCCTAAAAGCTACATTTTTCCATCCATTTCCATTGTTCACTTACAGATTCAAAACTGCATTCCCTCATAATTTCTTACCTCAAAATTACTGCCTTTGTACTAAAATTTTGTTTTACTTCCCATACTTGTTCGAGGTTCAGAACCTTCTGAATTTCTAAAATAGTGGCAAAGTAACATGGGAAAGGAGTATCATTTGAGTCAGTCATACATCAGTGAGATGAATGTCCTTCAAGCCTGCAGTCCCAGCACCACAAAAATGCGTAAGGTTGGTCAAGGCAAGTACGAGATAAACCACAAGGAGTTTAGAATGTCTCCATGAACGTATTTGCCACATATATGACAAGGGATTAGCCATAATGTATAAATAATTCCTATAGCCAATAATGGCAAAAAAATAGAAAATGGGCAAAGGAAAGGATAGCATTTTATAGAAAAACAGATGGAAATGGCCAGTAAACATGAAAAGATGTTTAGCTTCACTAGTAATCAAGGAAATGCAAAATTTAAAATGCATGAGATACAGATTTTAAAAATTAAAAATGTAAATAACAGAATAGAAAGAGTGTGGAGAGAGTATAAATTATCAATTCTTTTTGGATGGCTATTTAGCAGCATTTATCTATTTTAAAAAGTATATACCACTTTACCCAGAAATTATTTTTCCAGAGATCTATTCTCCAATAATACTTGCACAAAGAAATATGTATAAGGATCTTCATTGCAGCATTGTTTGTAATTGGGATCACTGGAAATAGCCTAATTTATCAACATAAAACATAGTCCACCCAGACTTTGGAATTCTATGCAACCATTTAAAGGAATGAAAAGTATCTAAATAAATGGACAAGAAAATCTAAGATTTGTTAAGTGGGAAATGTAAGTCAGAATAATATGTCTAATATGCCATTTATGAGCAATCAATAGTTGTGTGTGTGTATGTGAAGGCATATATAAATACATGGAAAAGGTCTGCAAAGAGATGCATCAAATTGTTGAACAGTGGCTCCCTCTGGGAATAGTCACTGTTGAAGGGATGAAGGAAAGACACTTTCACTTTTTATTTTCCAAACTTCATTCTATTGACATGGATAAATAAGGAGCTTGTATTTATATATTGCTTTATCAATGAAATATCTATTGTGTTTGCTCAATCCCTTTCTCCACCAAAACAGACTAGCTGCTCTGCTGACAAAATCCCAATGTACACTTGCCTGGTAGAGTATTCCTCCAGAAGAGCCGTTCTCCAAGTGTGACCCGGGAGCAGCAGCATTGCAGTTCTTGGGTCCCACCTCTGACCTATTAATTCTGAACCCCAGGGGAGTGGGGTCCTGCCGGCTGTGTATTAACAGCTCCAGGCAATCCGGAGGCAGGCTCAACACTAAGAAGCATTGCTTCGGATCTTAATGAAAGGCATCAGAGTAGATGGGATTCCCCTGGGAATGAATGCCCTGGAAGCAGTAAGCAAAGCTAAACCGGACTTGAGAGTCCTTAACAACTAGAGGCAAGGACTAGCCTGAAGAACATAATTATGCAGCTTTTCTTAGAGGAGAAATCAGAAGAAACTGCATGCAACAAAAGTAGCAGTGTCTCTAGATACACACTGAGCAAAGCACTCCAATGCCTCCATGCCTCCATTGCCGTGAGAGGGAAAAGCTTGCTTCTCCCTTCCACCCGGGTTGCAAATTCCTGCATCCAGGACAAAAGTGTCTTTCCAAAGGACATAGCTAAGCTTCAGGAGGAGAGAAATCCCTGGAGGATGCAGTCAGCGAGTCCTTTATAGGGAAGGAAAGGACAGTCGGCTGTCCCCAAAGTGAACGAGTGATTAGATGGTTCGGCCCTGTATGAATGGAATTAATGAACCTTCAGAGAGGCATCAATTTGTACCTTCATTGTAACCTGGTAACCTTGGAAAGCCTGGAGCCGCTTTTTCTTCTCCTCTTCTTGTCCCATGCTTATCCACGTGTCTGTAATTAATACATTGCCTCCACGAGCCGCTTCCAGTGGATCATTCGTCAGCGACAGCTTGGTGCCGTTCTAGCATACACAAGCATGCCAGTTAAACCACTTCATGGGACAGAGAAAAGCCATTCTAAGTTTACATAAAAGGAGCATACCTCCTTGGCATATTGCTCTGCCAACTTGGTCACACTGGGATCTGGCTCATAACCCTGCAGAGGGAAGAATTCAACTATTATTTAGGCAATTGTTTTGTATTAGGCTGTCTTATATATGCATTATTTTACTCTCAACAGTATTCTCGCTGTCCTTCAAGTTGTAGCTCAGCCGCCTTCAGTAGAATACGATATTTACATCTAGAATTCCCAACCTTCGGGGCGCCTGGGTGGCTCAGTTGGTTAAGCGACTGCCTTCGGCTCAGGTCATGATCCTGGAGTCCCAGGATCGAGTCCCGCATCGGGCTCCCTGCTCGGCAGGGAGTCTGCTTCTCCCTCTGCCTGCCACTCCCCCTGCTTGTGCTCTCTCTCTGTCTCTCTCTCTGACAAGTAAATAAATAAAATCTTTAAAAAATAAAGTAAATTCAATTTAAAGATGTTGTTTAATAAGCTCTTCAAAAATTCGGAAGCGCAGAGCATCTCCATAAATGATATTTTGGCAACATTTCTTTTAATTTTTCCCCACTGGATTTCTACAAAGGTCATATTTTAACAGATTTAGGTTGATTCATCTTTGTAACTTCAATCGTTTTCTGAGAAAGAATAGAGCTTGAGGAAAATTTTTTGCCATGCCTCTTCCTGAGGTATATGGTTGGAGAGCTCACATTCTCTTTTTTGTCATCTAGATCTTTGCTATTCAAACTGTGGTCTGCAGGACAGCAGCATCTGCATTATCTAGGTGCTTGTTAGAAATGCTGGCTCAGGTGCCTGGGTGGCTCAGTTGGTTAAGCGACTGCCTTCGGCTCAGGTCATGATCCTGGAGTCCCAGGATCGAGTCCC